GGGGAGTGTTTCTTAATTCTCAGTAGATGTATTTTTATCTATTGTCTTGTTGTTTCCTGTATTTTGTAGCTTTCTTTCTTTCACTCTTTTTGAGAGTTTGTTTCTGTATTATCTTTCCATTAATTAATTGATAAGTTGTTTCTTGTTTTAAAAAAAAAATTAAGTTCAAAAGGGACGTTTTCTTCCCTGTTCTTCCAACTATTATCATGCTTAACAGAATATATACATCATACAGTATGACGTATGTATACATATCATACATGACATGCATGAACAAACCAAGTAGTAAGAAAAAACAACAAATACCTTAAGGAAACGGACACGTAGACCCGATGCCGTGAACATGGGAACCTGTATATCCAAAAAAATATATATATATTTCACCTCCAGGCTCCAACACAATCATATGACAGAGAATAGAAAGATTAACAACCTACTTCATAGGAACATCTAAACCCAATCTAAAAAGGAAACCAGTTTCTAGTGGCAACATTTTAGAATCTTCTTTCTTGTTTTTTGTTTCCATTCTTTTCTAAATAAGTACACTTGATAATACGTTTTTAGAAATGTTTCAAAAATGGTATACAAATTTTGGAATAAAAATCTGTTTCCTATTTAGGAACAACGTAAAAACAAATATAAAAACCTGTTTGGGGACGATGAATCTTTTAAATTTGTTTTTGGTTGCATGGATTTCAGTCTCAGGTTAACCGTAAACTTAAGGGCATTCAAGTGTTCTTATAAAACATTTCAAAAACTAGTCCACAACAAGACAACAATGGGGAAAAGCACTATGGAAACCATCAAATCAAACCTACAGAACAGAAGTAGATAAGCCAATGCTTAGCTAACATCACACAAAAAGTGGTAAGCTAGAATTAAATCTTTGAGAACCTGAAACTCCATCTGAATTGGTGGCCGTGTCCAAGGCTTCCTTTCAGCAATGGTAGAAATCAGCTCGACTTCTGCACTCATAGTTGGTTCTGTTTGTCCAGGGAATTTTCTGATCCTAAAATTCACACAAATAAAAATTTAAGCCTTAGCTGCATTGTCACAACCAATTTAACATAATATACTCGTTCAACATAGAATTAAGTTCCTGCCAGACATGAGAAGCCCCATAAGAAAAATCATAGGATTAAATCTCTTAATTATTTTTCAAGGTGGAATTCCAGATTCGAAGGCATCAATTGGGAATTGGGATCTATCAAGAAAATTGTAGATAATATGACAGGATGGCATAACTCAATCCTGATTGCACAAATATAAGAGTATGCATGCTTGAGCATGTATAATGAAAAAAGAAAAGAAAGAAACTACACGAGCATACTGTAAGTAAAACGAAAAAGAATCCATATAGCTATGTGAGAAGGGAGATTACACCATAACAAACTAAGACAAAAATGTGAAGGCATTTATAAACGATGGAAAAATTATAGATGATGTATATCACATTCACAAGAATGACTACCAGAACAAATATATATGATATAAAATGCAAGCATGAACATGTATTTTTCAAAAGAAAAAACAAGAAACTAAATGATCATATCTAAAACTAAAAACGAAAACCACATACGCATAAATGTCAAAGGAAATTTTCAAATAACAAAAGAAGATACTCACTTCCACACGATGCAATCAATAGAGGCATTGTACTTGGCTCGACCAGATGTCACTTGGAAACTAGTTTTAGCTGTCTGTTTCGGAACAGGAACTTTAATGACCACACCAAGAGCAAACATTTTTGCACCGAAGACACTTTTCACCTGAAGGCCAGTAGAGATGGGCTTAAAGTGAATTATGGAACTCGGTAGATTATGATCGTGAAACTTAGAGAACCACAAACCTTAACATTAACTTCCATACGTGTCCTACCAAGCTCCTTAATAGTCGGTAGAACTCGAAATGGAAGATTAACACCCTCAGTAATACGGTATCTGCATCAAAGGAACATAAAAACATATATCAGAAATATGAGAAGATATACCTTGCAATTTATGAGAGAATAACATGAGAAGGGAATAAACTCTCAGTATGCCTCGAAACAAAAAATTATCCATTTTCCCCTCTCTCTACCTTCTTCACATGTGATAGAGTCCTTTGTCCTTCCCTCTGTGAGAGATAATGGATACAATATATATATTTATATATATATATAGTGTTTTGTACGAGAGCCGTAATAAAAGTATTTTGTGGGACACCAAGTCATTCTCATCCTCACATCAGGACAACAAATATTATTAACCTTTTAAGAATAAGCACAAAAGCACTCAAACTTGCATCATAAAGTACTAACTCGGGTGGAATCTAAAAATGCAAGCGCCATTCAAGGAAAACTATTCAACATCAAATATTAAGAAAAACGGATGTCCTTAATACTGGAAATTCTTCAACTTGATGAAACAGACAGTAGAATAAATTTTCACCTCCATGTAGAACAATTGAACTATATTCCTTCAAAGTGAATCCCACATTAATAACATGCTTGGAGGGTGACATGCTGATAGGGATGTAATCAACATTACTTGGGAAAACCTCCATAATTCATCAAAATGAAGATAGTATAATTGTAATAACTAAATGTCGGTAGATGTTCAAAAAAATTAAAAAGAAGAACTAAGTTAACAATAGGAAAACTGAAGCTACTAAGAATCACAACTTTAAATAACATACAAGAAAGATATAAATATAAAGACATTTGAGCTTACTTCATCAATTCAAATTCCCCATCGGGTGGCACAAAGCTGACAGTCTTCTCTGAGTTAAACCTCGTCAAATTTACACATTGATGAAAAGTAACATCATCAAGCTCAATTGTTTTACCACTGCAAAGTAAATCGTAAACCAAATTAATATATACCTTATTAAGTGAAACTTAAACTGGGTGATCATAGTCTGTACTATGGTAACACTATATCAACGAAACATCACAACAAAAAGAAACATGTGAACACCAAAATCTCTGCTTTAATTCTATGATATTCCCCACATCCTTTTGAGCCCTTGGAAACATATAATTAAGAAAGGTCTAAGCCAGGGATATCCTTTACCACCAGAGTTCCAAATATGAGAAAGTGGAACTACAACTACCCAACTGAAGTACAATTTTACTTTTGCTGCCTATAGAATATACATGCATGAGAAACCAGCTCTCATCAAAAAGCACAAAAATATTAGTTTAACATGAAAGTTGGAACAAATAGCAAGAATCGATAGCACAATACAACTTAGTTTAACATGAAAGTTCTCCACAACTGATTCCAATTGCAGAGAATGGAGAAGAAAAAATTCATGATATATTTGCAATTTATATCAAAAGGCGCCAAAATATGATGATTTTCCCTTATTATATGAAAAACTAATATTCATCCTAGTTCAGAAAATAACTCTGCATCCATGTACTTAGTATTATCATTATTATGAATTAGAGACACAAAATTGATAAGAAATGATATATATGAATTGGGAACTACAACTACCCAACTGAAGTACAATTTTACTTTTGCTGCCTATAGAATATATATGCATGAGAAACCAGCTCTCATCAAAAAGCACAAAAATATTAGTTTAACATGAAAGTTGGAACAAATAGCAAGAATCGATAGCACAATACAACT